ACCGCTCTTTTCCACTAGTGCGTCTAAGGCCATTTTTTAATCTTTTTACAGAAAAGGCTTGGTTGAGGACAGGGGGGAAAAAAAAGAGGAAAAGTACTTTAGAGAAACTACAGTACTTTTGAACTATATACTGTTAAAAAGATGGGCTCTCCTTGATACGTATCTATAAAAATGAACTGTAAGCAGCAAGCCGGCTTGTGTTGCATGGGTAGTATCAACAACTTTAATGAAACAAAGCCTGTTTTCTTGTTCTACTTCTTGGTTTAGTTTCAGGAGGGTGTATGTGTCATTAGCGTCCCCTAATCTCCAGCAAATCCCTGTGCACCTTAACCTGAGTCCATGGAGATGTGTAATACTTTTATTTTTAAATTATGAACTCCAAAAAACAGGTTTCGCTTTAGAAGCAAATACAGTACAACACAACTGTACTATCGGGGGGAGGTGGAGGGAGGAACAGTTTGTTCTTTTCACCTTGGGGAGCCTTCTGAGAGATTCACATATTTGTAAGCGTTTAAGCACCTTTTTGCTGGAGGCAGAGGAGGAGACCAGGCATTTTGAATAAACAAATTGTTCTGTCGTGACTGGCAGCAATGAGAGGATTCCAGAGCAAGTCGTGTTGGTTGGGTTTTGCAGGTACAATGGGTGAAATAAGCAGGACTGTACTTCTGGGGAAAATGTACTAAACTTGTCACACAAGCACCCAGGGAAGCAGTAACCTATTTCTCTGACAGTGGCATTATCTCTCTGTGTAGCTTTCGTCACTTGAACGGTGAAGAGAGTTGGTTTCTTGCTTGAATTACAGACTGTTTCTCAGTTTTCCCTCTCCCCACCCCTGTCCAAAAATGAAACCTGTTGCTCAGGTTAAAGCCACGCTTGATGTGAAAATTAACAGTGGCAGAGACTCAAATTCCTGCTCCCCGCTGTAGTAGCATAGTGCACATCAGCAGTGGTTACAGGGTCTGGTCTGGATGGCGGTGGCCAGGCAATTAGCCCACCTATAGATAAGTTCATCAGTAAGGTGATGGCAGTGAGAAGGGATTGTGAGGGGAAGATGGAGTTATTATTCCTGGGTGAGCTGGAAATAGCTGAGCTTCTAAGCAGGAGCTAAGCGTATTGTGAGGGAAGAGAGGCACAATGGCCTTGAACACAAATCCAAAAGGTATTCGGGGGATACCTTGCTTTTTAAACTTCTTTGGTAGAGAAATCCTTTAAGCCAGTTTCTGTGGAAATGTGGTTTTGAATTTTTAACTCTTCAAGCATCACATATTATTCTCTACATACAACTATTTTAAATGTTCACCAGGGCAGTGTTTTGATGGTGCATAATCATGGATCTGTCATCTAATCTCTTCCCTCCTGTTTTTTTAACACATGAAATAGCAGTGTGCACGTTCCGAATGGGTGATGTTAAGTGGCAGAAATTCCTGTGGTGCTTTAATTTCTTTTGCAGTCTCCTGCTGGACAAATAAATACATTTCTAGGCATTAGGCAATGGAACCATAGATTATGGTGGAATGATCTGAACTCATGGCCTTTTCAAAAGGGGAAGATGACAATTGCAGAGATATTAGCAGCACATTTGATAATGTATTATAACTTTTGGTGAAATGAGGTGCCACAAAAGAGGAATTGTCTGTGAAGAAGTTCTCCTTAGTGCAAGCTCTGAGGAACTGAAGACAGGAGGCTTTGGGTTTTGTTTGGGTTTTTTTGAGTTTTGTTTTGGCAGGATGCAAATCATTGGTTTGCAAGGTAGAAAATATGAGAGGAAAATAGTTTTCAAACCAGACAAAAAGGGGTTTGGTCTGTTTAACGTGTTGTCTCATTCTGTGCAATTAGATGTCTAATGGTAATTAGTGACAACTCAAGCTGACATCCTTCATCAAGTTACATTGAAATCACCAATTCGGAATCACTGCCTGGTATGAGGTGATGCCTTCACATTCTTCTCCGGTCCCCTTCCTCATGCCGTCATAACCTGCTGCTTCCCACGGCCGCCAGCAGTCACGCTGCCGGGCGGCATTCCAGTGCTGGGGCACTCAGTCATTGCCAAGGCAGATGTGCACAAAATGATCACAAATTTCAAGTAATTAAACATCTGAGGTCATTTTTCCTGTCTTGCTCTAGTCCCACTTGGAAAGTGTTTATTATATTACGTCAATACATTTGCAGTGAAAACTGTGATAAGGGTGTGGTGTCTGAGGGAGTGGAATATTGAGTGAGGACAAAAATAATGAACTCGCTCTGCAGGGCATCTATTTTGAGGCTTTTGAGAGACGTTGTAAACAGAAGTGACCCCAGGGTCCTGCGTGCTACTGAAAGGATGTTTTGTGATGAGGAAGTGAAAATGCTTTGGAGTTGAATTTTCTCAGTTGTCCCTCAGCAATTCCATGACAGAGCCAGAATTAAAATTGAGATCTGGTGTGATTTCTATGAATCATGTCTTTACCATTTTCCTCTTGGTAGATGCTGTTCTTACAATCATTCCAACCCTAAAATATCTTTTAAAAGTCTCAGAAGTGCATATAACAGAACCAGTAAAAGGGCAAATTATTTGCGGGTTTTACTGTGAGATACATCACAAGTGAAGATGAAGTGTGTGGGGAGAGAAATGCATTCTCTTCTCAAGACTTCTGAAACCCCAAAATAAGCATCTTCCTGTATTGTTCAATACTACCTTTGCTCTAGCTTAAGATAAAAGTTAAACTCTAATCTTTTTGGTGCATTTTGAAAAAAGTACAGTTGTGCAAGTCTTTTAGGTTTTTTTATACTGAAACTTCCCTTGCAAAGAGAAGAAATGAGAATGATGTGCAGATACGTGTTGTTGAATAACCTGATTGACTCTTGGAAGGCTTTCTCTGACAGCTTTTTCCTGGGGGAGGGGGAAGCTTTCTGCTAGTTGCCTGGGCAGCCCTTGTGTCTGGCTGGTGGCGTTGTGCTGTGTATGGCATTCCAAACTGCCGCTGTCAGTGTGGGCTAAACCTGCCTTAATTCAGGAATGAAATCCAGGGCTGAACACGGCTTCCTGTCCCTGTCTGTTCCAAGCCTTCTTTGTCCGCCTGGTGTTGCGACACTGGAGTTGTATTTGAGGTTGTCGCCAGTGCCAGATTGAATGCTTGCAGGAGTAAAGAGGAATTTGCACAAAATACATTGCAGCAGTTAATGGGACAGAGATTGTGTAGCCTCTGTCTGGGCTGAGATGCGCGTTGTTTGATCTGTTGATCACAGCCAGTTCTGCTTGTGTTGTTTCCCAGACAGAAGCAGACTGCTAAAATGGCAGTGGATTTGAAAAGGAGGTGGAGTATTCTGTTAACATGAAAGCTAATATTGAAGGTGTTAATATTTATTTACCAAATCCCAAGGAACCAGTCCAGCTGAGGCTGTTGCAACAGTCGTGGCTGACCACTGTAAGATAGTTGCAAAATCTCCTTTTGCTCAAGGCTTGCTTGCTTACAGATCAAAAAAACCAAAAACAAACCCCCAAACAAACCAGCACCACAGACAAACACCACTCCTTCCCCGAAATTCAAACAAAACCAGAAAGACCCCAAAACTTTACCAGTTAACTGCGGTCTGTGCAAGGCATCCAGGCTAACCTTGCTGTCTTGGTTTGATTAAATCTGGTTTTGTTTTTCTGTTTAATAGGAGCGGAAGGGGATGTGTCTGATCCAGGCTATCATGATTGTTTGTTTTGGAGTGGTATCAGCTCTCTGAATTGCAGCGTATACATTACACTCAGACACCTTTATGCCACCTGCTGTAAACGCGAGAGTTACACAGCTAGTAACTTTGTATTTAGTGTTTGTGTCAAATGAACAACTCAACAGGCACAGCTGTCTAAGCCCATAGGAGAAGTGCAGTCATATGGTTGAAATAGATTACTTTCTATTAAAATTGATAGGAAAACTGTCCACATTGGTGGTGACAACCATATGTGTATATTTTATGTATATTAGCTGCTTTTATTTGGTGCTGCCATCGTAATGCTGCTCTTCACATGGCTGGGTTGCACATGAAGGTTAGCGGGTTTGCAGCTGCCTTTAACTCAGGCATTAAAGGCTTGTGCTTTGGGATCGAGCGCCTGAGTTGGTCCCCGTAAGCAGCTCTGTGGGATTAGCGTGCTGTTACTGCCGCTGGGGTAGCGATTGACTTGGAAATAGAAGTTGAAGTCTGGGATCTGTTTGCACTTCAATAACGTATGCAAAAAGTGCTTGTGAAATGCCAGCCATCTGTGCTATTGTACATTGAGTTGATCCCTGAATAGGGATGTGGAGAAACAGGGAAACAACAGCAACAACAAAGTAACTGGCCTGTTTTGTCAGATTAACACTTGCAAGGTGTGTTTGTGTGCGCTGTATAGGATAACCTGGTCATGCTGCTTGATAACTGGGTCTACTCAAGAGTATGTTCGAAGGGTGTCTGTGTATTTGCTGCTAAGTCTTTTTCCCACCAATCCAGGTAGCTCCTATCTACTATCCCTTGATGATTTTAGAGCTGTGAAGCCCTAGATATGAATCTGTACTTCTGCAAACCAGGGTGTTTGGAATTTTTTTGGCCAGCTAGCTTTGGGGATGTCTCAATGTGTGTTATTTCTGCCGAAGTTTTATAGTTACAAGAAATGCTATGTTTCTTATGCAATTTTTTTTGGTCATGTAATAAACCTTGTGCTTCTAGTTCCTGTAGGTGACTACACAAATGAAATCTGCTAACCATGAATTATTTACATTTTTTTGTCTTCATTTTGCTGGGTTTTTTCGAAGGTAGTTATTCATTAAACAAGCTGAAAAAATGCTTACTAATATAGAAAAAACCCAGAAGGGGGACAAAACAGGAAATGCTTGATATTAACAAGCTTAATGTGTTTGTAAGCATGACTGCCGCTTATTTATGCATATTCATTGTAGATGTACGTGTCATCTCTTTTCAGGTTCCTGAACAGCAGCCAATTACTTTATGTAGTGGAGCTGAAGATACCAAGCATTATGAGGAGGGCAAGAAATGTGTGGAAGAATTGGCATTGTACCTCAAACCACTCAGCAGTGCAAGAGGTAGTTCCTGCATTGTTTCCTTTGAAAATAAAAGCTGGAAACAAATAAAATGCAAAACAGACTAACTAGTCATTTGGATGGTTTGTTTGAAAAATGGATATAGACCTTGTTTAGAAATGAATTGGAACAACTTTCCTAAGCATTGATGTTATTTCCTCATGGGGCGTGGCTGGGGAGGAGGGAATGTGTGTGTGTCTAGAATTTAAAGGTCTTAAGTAAAAAATAATACTGAGAAAAGGTTGAGATATTTGGCTGTGGTACAGTAAGCTGAGACAACTTTGTAAGTTGAGTTGACATCTGCAGACTAAATAGAAGTAGGTAATTTTGCCTTTTTTTTTTTTTTGAGTTCTGCTTTACTTTGAGATCACTGTAGTAATGCAGCTTGTTTGTGGAGGGGGAATAAACAAAGGAGAAAATTAACTACATAGAGCGTATATATGAGAAATAAGTAGTACCCTGGTTATGCAAGGTCTTGTACAAGAGCTGGGTCAATCTGAGTAATTCTAATTTAGCGAAACTGTGCTGGGTTCTATATTACATATGGGGGACTTGAAGAATCTGTTAACCCAAGTAGTAGAGGTGAGCACATGGGCATCAGGTTTTCAAAAATGAATTTTTACAGAAAGCTGTCTTGAGCTTTTCTGGCAAGTACAGTGTGATGTGGCTCCGAGTCATGGTGGCCCAGTGAACAAACTCAGCGTGGCAGGATATGTCTAGTGAGTCACTTGTTCCTTTAGCCTGTTTTCAGTGGCTCCCAGCACACTCGAGTCACAGTTTTTGCACAGAATTGGATATCACCCAAGCAGTTGTGAACTCACCAGGCCAAAGAAGTGGAGACATTAGATACAGAAAAAAACCCATGTGTCTTATGAAACCAGATGAACAGTCAAAGGCAGTGATCCCTGAGGCCCATGAATAAGGGAAGGACTGCAGTGTGATCCTACCCTTGAGGAGACGCCTGGAAATCTGTATGGGAGGGTGCAGGACAGACTTCCAATGGGGGAGAGAATTCATGAGAGGGATTGGACTGGATGATCTTTTGAGGTCCCTTCCAATCCCTAACGTTCTGTGATTCTGTGATTCCACCTTAGAGAACCAAATCTGTCAATCACAAAACTTTAACCTGTGGCAAAGCTGACTCCCAGGAACGGTTTGCTTTTAACGCTGAGTAAAATGGACAAAAATGAGCTTGTGACATGCCTTCTCTAGTGTTGTGTATAACAGAGTGAACGTCAGGAGAACTAGGTGGTTGAAGGCTGGCACAAGAAGAGGAGTTACGGGGTAGTTTATTTTTTTCCTGCTTCACTTTGTTTTGAAGGTGTGGGTCTTAACAGTACTACTCAGAGCGTGCTAAGTCGTCCTATGCAAAGGAAACTTGTGACATTAGTTCATTGCCAGCTGGTGGAGGAAGAAGGGCGGATCAGAGCCATGCGTGCAGCACGGTCACTTGGTGAAAGAACGGTCACAGAGCTCATTCTTCAGCATCAAAATCCTCAACAGCTCTCTTCCAACCTCTGGGCTGCAGTGAGAGCCAGAGGGTGCCAGTTCCTTGGACCAGGTAGGTAACATCACAGTACTACTTCTGTACTAGCAGCAATTTAGAATTGCAAAGGATTGATAAATGGGTGCTAAATTGCCTGAGTGATTTTATTAGGCAGTGGCTTAATTGCTTAATAGTCGTTCTTCAGAATTAATGGTGTCTCTGTTGGGCTGCTGTCATAGATTTTCTCGCATTTTTAATGCTTTTGCAAGTCTTCTGTAAAAATCAGACTAATGTGTGTCCTTTTGTTCTTGTGATAAGATAAAATGGGAAGTAGTTTCTCCCTTGCTATTCCTTGAAGAAGTAAGACCTTTCTACAAAAAATTAGGTTACTAGAGGTGACTGAACATGGCTTCTTTCCCTTCTCTAGGGCAATAAACATTAAAAAAGAGTTATGGGGGAAATTTGTTACACTGAGGGGGTGTATGCATTTTTAAACAGTTGCATGCATAAATTTCATAGAGTACTAAACCAATCAGCTTTGCTTAAAAAATGAATGTAGTCTCGTTACTAAAAATGTAGACTTCGCTGTTACGGGCCAACAAAAATTAATGCCTTGAGATATGAAGCCAGCTTCTTAAAATGAAGACAAAAATAAGGCAGCTTTCCCCTGCTGAAACAAATGGAGACTAACTTTAGGATGCTAACTTTTGCACCACTGCAGGAAACAGAGAGGCTTGTTACCTAAAAACCGCTGTACTACATCACCTAATTTATTTGCGTGAGCACTAATTGCTCGTTTACCTGCATGGGAACCAACCTTGCCTTTCCTCAGCCTGTCAGCTTTTTCTGCTGGGATAGGTGTGGATATAGGTAATACACTTTAGAAACTATTATATTAATAATCTAGAGAGATGTATAGATGAGAACAGAGAAGTCTTCCTATCATCTGGTACCCAATACAGAACAAATAATAATAATAATAATTTTAAAAAATTAAAAGTCCTGTTTTCCCAGCTGCAGTCTGAAAGTGTTTCTTCTCTCTCTTCCCTCCCTTCTTGCTCCGCTCCCTTTCCTGTCTGTGGATTTGTTTGTGTATTTGGAGGGGTTGGTTATAGCTGGTCTCCTGCT